ATGCGTAGTGTCCCTTATTGTTCTTTTTCAAAGATTGTGAATCTGCCTTGGATTCCTGCAAGCAGACACGTGCTTGTCTCTTAGCTTTGGTGTCTGTCTTTAGGAAACCTCTGCAGTAGGCCTGTAGGGACCAGAGCTGGTGTAGGAATCCCAAATTTGAGCAACATTCATATCCCCTTACCCCACATGCTCCTATTTGTGGAAAAATGAATTTAGGCCTCTCAAAAATCTGTGGAATATGTTTTTTCATATTGGAGAATCTTGTGAACTTTTCCCTGCTTGCCACTAGGGTGTGCGTGCATGCGTGCGTGTGTGTTTGCATGTGTCCCTGCATGCGTGTGTGTGTGTGTGTGTGTGTGTTATGTGTGTGTTTGTGTGTATTTGTATCTGTGGGGGGGTGGGGGGGTGTTGTGTGTGTGTTTTGGGGGCCATACCCGATCGTTCTCAGGGCTTACTCCTGGCTCTGCGCTCAGGGATCCCTGCTGGTGGAGTGCAGGGGGATCAAATGCATGCCAGGGATCTAACCCAAGCAGGTTGCATGCAAGGCAAGTGTCCTACCCACTGCAGTATCGCTCTGATATGAGCGTTTTAAAGTTTTAAGAGTCATATTTATAGCATCCTCAGAGGAAGCCATATAGTATGCACAGCCATAGAACACTGTGATGTACACATCTGAGAAGTTCTTGGGCATGATAACACATGAATGGCTTCATGATATTTCCAGAACTCTCTAAAGAAAGGGGTTAATTATCTCTAATTCTTTATATTTTGTGTCGGTGTGGGTTTGGGTGATGAGAGGGGGTTGGGACCATACCAGCTGCATTCAGGGCTCACTCCTGGTTCTGTCCTTAGGGTCCCCTCATGGCAGTACCTCGGGACCATATGCAATAACGGGGATGGCTGCTTGCAAGGCAGGTCCCTTAGCCCCTGTACTGTACCTCCATCCCTGCTAGGCATTCTTAGAGGAATAAATCAATAGAAATGCTTTAATATACCTAATGGCTAAGATCCATACCTGGCAAAATTCTAATTTCCAGTGAAAATAAAAGCGGGTTTTTTTCATATAGAATTACCTATCAGAATCTATACAGCAAACTTCAAAGCAGAATTTATAGCTAAAACCTTACAAACAGGGCCTGGAACGATAGCACAGCAGGTAGGGCGTTTGCCTTGCATGCGGCCGACCCGGGTTCGATCCCCAGCATCCCATATGGTCCCCTGAGCGCCGCCAAGAGTAATTCCTGAGTGCAGAGCCAGGAGTAGCCCCTGTACATTGCCAGGTGTGACCCAAAAAAAAGCAAAAAAAAAAAACTTACAAACAGTAGATATTTATAAAAAGGAACACACATTTAAGTGAGGTCCCATGTTTTAAAGTAATAGTCAATAGGGCCAGAGCAATAGTACAGCGAGGAGGGCATTTGCCTTGCATACTGCGACCAACCTGGGTTCAATCCCTAGCACCCCGTATGGTCTCCCAAGTTCTCCAGAAGTGATCACTCAGCACGGAACCAGGAGTAAGCCCTGAGCATCACCAGGTGTGGTCCCAAAACCAAAAAATAAATAAATTAAAATAAAAAATAAAAATAACATTGTCGATAGACATGATTTATCAGTAATAGTCTCATTCTGCATACCATGTAGAAATGGGCTTTTACTTGAATAAGAAGAAAAAGGCCTAAAGCAGAGCATTTTGATTATAAATGGGTCATTATTTTATTCTAAGAGTGGGCAGGAAACATCTATCTTTGGAGACATTGTCAATGGTCCTGTCATTTGGGTGGAGTTGTTTGAAAAGCACTGTTCTGCCTCCAGGCAGAGAAAGTAAATGGTTTCATAAAGCATCATTTCATTTGCTTGTGAGTTCAGTTCCCTGCATCAACGGTCTGAAGTTAACTTGCTGCTCTAGCCAGCAGCAAAAGCTTTCACAGTATTCCTAACAACTAAAAAATGAAATGATGGGACATGGGGGAAAATTCACATGTGCAAAATTTGCTTCCTAAAATTTTCCCCCTTTAAAAAAAATTGGGGGGGGCCATACCTACCAGTGCTCAGGGGTTACTCCTGACTCTGTGCTCAAGGATCACTCTTGGCAGAGCTCAGGGAACCATATGGGATGCCAGGAATCAAACCCAGGTCTGCCATGTACAAGGCTATCGTATCCACTGTCTATGACTCTGGCCCCTGAAATTGTCCCCTTCAATTCTTACTATCAGAGTAAGCGGTGACTTGCTCCAGGTCACGTGTCTAGAGAATATCAGAGTAGAAATCATAACCCCAGTGTGGCCGGAGCCGCTGCTCCTTCCCAGGGTATCAATAGTGCAGTTCAGTGAGTGTTTATTGAGCACTTAGTTTCTAACAGCACAGCACTGATGAAGTAAGTGGGACTAGGGGAGCGACTAGGTCACAGTCAGAGGCATTTTAGGAACTGTGTTGTTTTCAATGCATCTCAGTACAAGTGCCTTTATTTCTGCAGCATCCTCTTCTCGAAACTCATTTCCTTTATGAACCCTTCCTTGGAGCCCACTGGTGAGCACTGCTACCTCCGGGAGCCCCCGGCTTCCGTACTTACCCACATTGCTTGAGCCCATTCGTCACAGAGCATGTGGGGCCCTGCTTGGTGCCTTCATGCAGGACTCTGCTTTGCTCTAGTTAAGCCAGCCCAGGCACTGGCTGACGTGGAGTTCATTCTGTTATCCATCTATTCAGCATGGCACAGTGTACAGTTTTCCTGGGTTATGACTTTGCATCCACCTAGCTAGTGAGTGGGTGTAGACAAAAGCCAAGTCACCCCCTTCATGCAAATGCTCTTGGAGCATTTTTATATACCATATTTCTCAGGAGGTGATTAAAATTTAGTTTCAGGGCTGGAGAAATAGCTCAGCAGTCTGGAGCACACACTCTGCATGCTGGAGGCTGGGTTCAATCCTATCAGCTCAGGATTCCCCCATGCACCCAAGGGTGGTTCCCTAAGCACTCAAAGGTAGCATGGTGAGTAAAATGTTGCCTTGCATGTTACCAACCTGGGGACGATTCCTAGCAACCCACCTGGTCCCTGAGCCATGCCACAAGTGATCCCTGGGTACAAAGCAAGGAGTAAAACCTGAGCATCACTGCATATGACCTCAAAATTAAAACACACACACACATACACACACACACACACACACACACGCGTGCGCGCGCGCACACACACACACACACACACACACACACACACGCACCTGTGATTTAGGCCTGAGAGATTCTACAGAGATCAAAGCTCTTGCCTTGTACACAGCCAATTCTGGTCCAGTCCCTGGCATTGCATAGGTGGTCTAAGCATCACCAGACACAACTGCTGATGAGCACAGAGCCAGGAGAAACCCAGGAGCACTGCTGTGTGTGGCCCAGAATCTTCCCTTCCAAAATATCTAAAACAGCTCTGCTTGAGATCCATTGAAAAGAAACTATTCCAGAATACTGAAGGAACACACGAGAGAATCCTGCGGAGGGTTACCCCTGACTTAAAGAGCATTCCAGAGAGAAGAGCAGCTTTCAGCAAGGAACATGCCACCCCTCCAGGGGAGCTGTGGGCTGTGGGGCCCCAGACCCTGGGCTCTGGGCTGAGAGCCTGGGCTCTGGGTGTGTGGGTTGTCCTGCAGCTTCCAGGAACTGCTTCATGCTTGAACAAAGCTATCATTGAGAAGCTCCCCAATCATTCCAAAGTTTCTTATTCATCTTGTACATTACTCTGCCCTTGTTTCTCTTCTTTCCATTGTCCATCATTGGTCTTTGAGGGCTTTACCAATCTTTTGCATCTAAAAAAGAGAAAATACTTTATTTGTCTTGAATTCTATTTAAAAAAAGGGAGAAGAGAAAGTGTGGGCTAGAGAAAATTCAAACGGCCAAGCACATGCTTCAGGTACAGGAAGCTTGGGTCCAACCCCTGACATTACATGATCCACCTCTAGGTGTTGTACAGTCCCTCTCCACCCCCGCCCACAAAAGAAACCCAGACTAAAAGAGGTAAGGCATGTGCATGTGACAAACCCTAGTTCAAATCCCCAGCACTTCACGTGGTCCCCTGAGCACAGCCAGGTGTGACCCCAAAATAAAACAAACCATATAAAACAAAAAGGGGGGTAAAGGTTCTCTGTGGTTTAAAGATAAATGTGAACAACATGGGCATAATTGCTTTTCATTGTTTTTAATGACCATCAGTAACCAAGCTCATAGTCTGTGTCTAGGAAACTCTTCTTCAGAAACCTCAGCATACTTTTTTTTTTTTGCTTTTTGGGCCACACCCTGAGATGTTCAGGGCTGACTGCTGGCTCTGCACCCAGGAATCACTCCTGGTGGTACTCGGGGGACCATATGGGGTGCTGGGAATCAAACCCAGGTTGGCCGCGTGCAAGGCAAACACTCTAAAGTACTATCACTGAAGTGATAGTACTCAACATACTTCAACATATTTTCGTACTCTTTTCCTTTTCACCTAGGAACAAGGCTAGAACTTTTCCCTTCCCCCAAATCCTCTCCTTGGGTTCTTTTCCCTAGAGATCAGGGAGATGGTCAGGAACTGAGTTTTAGTATCTGCAATTTGTGGTGTTCTTTCAGAGTCCGTTTGGTGGTTTATGAACTGAAGGAGATTCACAGGATGCAGACTGGGATCCAGAGAAACTAAGTGTCACACAAAAAGTCTCTCACTTCTAGAACAGAAAAGATGTGCACTTTATCGGTGTGGGGTGGTTTTTGATGGCTTTCCAGTGTGCTAGCTGACTGCGCGCTGAGAACAGTGCTCTCCCACACTCGAATCTAGTACGTCCTGGAGCCAAAAATGGGAGTTGGTGCCAAGGAGTCTTTTAAACAGTCCGTTCAGTTGGTTTTTCTTACATTGTATTCCTGTCTCATGTGAAGTTGAGACATCAGATTTGGAAAATATGTTTATAAATGAAAGTTATGAAAATTCGTCCCTTGCTAAATGCTGTTTTTTTGTTTTTGTTTTTGTCTCCTTTCTCCAGCATGAAAGACTTTCTAGGTAAGCACGTCCCTGTTTTGTGTGCATGTTTAATACGTGTGAATTAATGTGTGTCTAATTAAGCAGCTTTCTGTAGCTTAGTAATGCTTCACACAGCCTTTCCTCCCTTTTAATTTCCACAGCCACCGCAATCATCCAGGCTTTTATCATCTCCTGCCAAAAGTAATTCGGTAGCTTTTCAGCTTAACTTCCTGCATCTTCTCTTTCTAATTTGTTTGTATCTGACCGCATTCTACATGAATTTCCCTGAAGCATCCAGGCTCTATGCTAGATGCTAGGGAAACAACAGGAGTAGGAATCTGTCTTACCCTCCATAGTCCTCACCAAATCTCTGGTGAAACAGTTTCAATTGCACGTACTGAGTGCCAAGCTAGAAGTCGGGGCTGAGGAGAAATCCCAGTCATGGGCGTAGTGGTCCTGCTGTGTAATTGAAGGTCGGAGGTTAAGAAACCAGCTGTCTGGGCCCTGTGGTGGTACTCCTGAAGTGTATGGGTTGCATCGGATATACCAGAAATCTGAAAATTCTGAGTGCCGTGCCCATGGTGCCATCCCTAGCTTCATCCGGCCTCCATTGCCCATCTACAAGTCCATATGTTTCTGATTCATCGACAGCTCATTGGAGTCGTTTCCCAAGAGTCATTAAACTCCAAGAAACTTTCACTTTTCAGAGCAAACTCATGGGGGCAGCTGTTTCATCCTAAACTTAACTTGAAGAGCTCTAGCATATCCGTCAACACCTAGGTCCAGACTTCCCCCATTTCAAGTACACTCCACTCTTGGCACAAAAGGGTCACTTTTTCAAGCTGGGGGCATGTCCGGGAAGGAATGCTGGGCATTGTTCCGGGCCTGAGCACGAGCATACTTCCTGGAGAAGGAGCAGAGGCCTTCTCCTCACTTCCGTGTTCTCAGCACCTGACCTTTTCTTTCATCCCCTCCCCAGGTTGGAATCTGGAGGTAGCAATGCTCTCAGCAGCGACTCTTACAGTGATCGGGCATCAGCGAGAGCCCGCCGGGAGGCCCGAGAGGCCCGTCTAGCCAGCCTGGCCAGCCGGGTAGAAGAGGACAGCAGCCGGGATTACAAAAAAGTAGGGTCTCTCCTCCGGTGCCTGTCCTTGGGTCACAGCACAGACACCACTTGGCCTTCCCCTGGTGGAGGAAAAAGTGGGGAAGAAAGACAGCAGAACTCACCTCTGCTCCCCACAAACCACCAGGAAAGGCATGAGGAAGAGGAACGAGGAATTCCTTTCGGCTCCTTGGTTCACTCCGCCTGTCCGCCAACCAGACTGAGAACCCCCCCACCCCCCGCCCCGCAGATAGTGCTGTTAGTGTCTGGGCAGACATTTAGAGGTGCAGACCAAAAATTTAAAAGAAAAAAAAGTAAGGACTCAAAATTATAGGAGGGGGGACACAAAAGCCAAGCTGTCTAGTGGTTCATTTGGAAGGCTCTTGTATTTTTAAACACACCTGCTCTCAATGAAGTCCTATGAGTATCAGACAACCACTTTGTTGGCGACTGTGATAATAACAGTCTGGATGGGGTGAGGGTTTCAATCACTTTACAGTTTATTTCCTTCAGTACCCAGCTCAGGCCGACTTGGAAACCTTTAGTCCTTGCCAAGGGGGAAAAAATCTTTAAGAAAATGTTTATTTTGTTAATGTTTTGTTAAGCAAAACTTGAGTAAAACTAGTGTATACACAATAGATTGACTCAAGAATAAATATTTAGTGCTAGAAGGCAATACAGCAGTCAGGCTCAAGTACCATATGGTCCCCTGAACATCATAGGGTGCCACCCAGGAGACCCCTGAGCATCATTGTGCTTGGTGCCTTGGAGGTCCCCACCACTGCAGGGCAGACAGTATAACATCCTTGGGCCCTTGCATTGAATAGCCAGCCTGGCTAGCCAAGAAATGTCATTGGGCGCCCCACCAGCCCCAAATTTCTGTTTTGTTGGGAATACAATTTTCAAGCAATCCAGTGCCCACTAGGAGAATATGGAGTGACTGTTCTTCCCCAGCCCCCCACCCCACCCCCCGGCTCCAAGAATAACATTGCATTTAAACGTCACTCTCTTCCTGTTCAGCTGGGACTTCCTTGGTTTTTAATCTGAACAATTCTGTTTCCTCTCTGTTGGGCTCGCAGTGGTTTGGGGCAGGGAGCCTTGGGCATTCCCATGTAACAAAGTGAAGGGTTCTCACCCTGAGAGCCGTGCCTTGCAGGGGACCCATCTCTCTCTCTCTCTCTCTCTCTCTCTCTCTCTCTCTCTCTCTCTCTCTCTCTCTCTCTCTTTCTTTCTCTCTGTCCCCTGCTACAGCTCTATGAGAGTGCCCTGACTGAGAACCAGAAACTGAAAACAAAACTTCAGGAGGCTCAGCTCGAGCTGGCAGATGTCAAATCCAAGCTTGAGAAGGTAGCGCAGGTGAGTGGGGAAGAGGGAGAGGATGGGGAGGTGGGGTGGGTTGAGGGGGATGAGTAAGCCCAGGGTCTCTGGGGGTAGGAGGAAGCGGGAGAGAGCAAGGCTGGCCCCTGCCAGCATCAGGGAGATGGAAGCCTCTTTGATTTGTCACCAGTATGGGGATTCAACCAGCATTTATGTTCAAGTTGAAAACTGAGGACCCAGAGATAACCAGCACCTTGAGTTTGCCCCCTGGCAGCATGTGGCCCTACCAGCACCACTGGGCATAGCCCTCCAGCACTAGTGGGTAGCCCCCACCACCACCACACATCCCCCAAAAGAAAGAAAATTAGCTATTCTGTGTGTGATTCCTGATGCTCTGAATGCTAATATTGTGGACTATCTGCATGTTGATACCAAAGTCTAAAGTAGTATAACATAGCTAGTTTATACTAGACATCAAAAAGCCCTGTCTTCAATGTGTTTCAGCTCCTTTACCTACCTGTCACTTCTCACCTAGGGATGATAAGCAAGACACACTTTGAAAAAAAAAAAATGAAGGGAAATTGATGTTGGTGGAAGGATTGGTGTTAAAATAGTCACTGTCACTGTCACTGTCCTCCTGTTGTTCATCGATTTTGCTCGAGCGGGCCCAGTAATGTCTCCATTGTGATACCAGTTACTGTGTTTGGCATATCGAATATGTCACGGGGAGCTTGTCAGGCTTTGCCGTGCGGGTGAGATACTCTCGGTAGCTTGCCGGGCTCTCTGAGAGGGGTTAAAATAGTATATGCCTAAAATTCAACTATCTATAACTTCATAACTCAGAGTTCTTTAGATTTAAAAAAAAATTTTTTTTTAATTTGGGTTCACACCTGGCAGGGGCGGGGTGGGGGTGGGGGACAAACAGTGCTAGGGACCAAATCCAGAGCCTCCCACATGCTAGGCACGTGCTATCCCACTCCCCCTACCTACTCATCCAGCCCGGTAACACCCCGTTAAACTTGAGGCACAGAGGCTGCGAAACAGCTGTGGAAGCAAGTAGTTTGCGTAGGTCACAGCCTACAGCAAGAACCAAGCACTGTTAGAACATAGGTGAAAGAAAGCAAGGATTCTGTCTCTAAGCCTCCGCTATCTTTCAGCCTAGGAATAGGAAACAGCAGTGGCCGAAGGACTAGCTAGACCTTTCCCTCTTACTGCCCGCGCTGGTTTAATTTAGAGGCAGTTTAGGAGGTGTTGGCAGCAATCACCCCCGTCCTCCATGAAACAGACCTGCAGCTGGAAGCTAACGCAAGTGCCTTCTTAGCTTGTTGCCGAGCTGACAGGAAGTCTATTGAGTTCTTGCCCTCTCAAAGTGCCCAGGGACTAAGAGTCTAAAAGCAGAACTGAATTACATATGGCTCTCCCAGAAAGACGGAAATGAAAGCCAGAGATGGCTAGTTGTTATGGCCATATGATACAACTCAGAAGCAAAGACTCAGACGCGAGGATTATACTGTCTGGGTACAGGGATTTGGGGGTGGGGGAAGCTGGGAGGGTTACAGGATGACCCTCTAAATGTCATCTTATAATTTCTATGCATAATTGGGTGATTGCACCCAAAAAAAATGTATATGGGCTCCTAGCAGGAACCCCACACACTCTGGAGAAGGGGTCGGTCCAGACAAAATGGGTGGCCTGCCTGTCAGAGGCAGCCCCTCTGCCTGGTTCAAAAAGCTGCACTTGGCCCTTCTACTGGCAATTCCCAAGATCCACTGCATCCCAGAGGACAGCTGGCCTTCGAGTGATTTAGTGGAACCAGAGGAATAGGTCCAGTCTAAAGGAAAACACGTGCACTTCGCTCTCCGCTCCAGGCTGGGGGTGGGCTGAATACCCCTGAAGGGCTCTCTTGACCCAACATTGCTGAGCCATGCTAAGTGCCTAAGTCCCAGCAGCGCCTCAGAAAGTAGCCAAGACTTATTCTGAACAGCACCGCCAGTAACTGGTAAGGCAGATCTCAGGCTGGTTCTCATCAGTCTTTACTGGGCTATTTCACAGGGAACCCCATCATCACCCACGCCCCACTCTCTGTCAGAAGCTTCTGTCAGCATGTTACTTGACCTTTAGGGCTTTCCCACCGTGCTCAGGTCATGGAGCAGTCTTAATAATGGGCTGGCAGCGCCTGGCACCACGGGCCTGGCAGACCAAAGCCACCTGCCCAGTCACGGGGAGAAGCGTGGCCTTGCTAGCCAGCCACTTTGCTGGGTGTGTCAGAATCAACTTTGTATGCCAAAATACAAGTTATTGAAATTCAGAAGAAATAGTGGTGTTATGAATCAAGTGTTCTGCTATTACCAAAAATGGAGTTTTTGGCACTGGAGAGAGGCGAGTCAGCCGCACACATGTATGGGGGTAGTTACCACATGGACACATGTAATATATAATGTTTTAACATAGAAGAGCCCCAGATTCTAGGGGGTTAAGGTGTCATGTTAAAATGAAAATATTTGGGGGCTGGAGCAATCGAATAGCGGGTAGGGCGTTTGCCTTGCACGCGGCCGACCCGGGTTTGATTCCCAGCATCCCATATGGTCCCCCGAGCACTGCCAGGAGTAATTCCTGAGTGCAGAGCCAGGAGTAACCCCTGTGCATCGCCGGGTGTGACCCAAAAACCAAATAAATAAAAATAAAATGAAAATATTTGTTCTTTGTGCGAGTGAGCAAGAACTAGCTAAGATTGAAGAAAATAGTGAGTCACAGAAAATAGTGAAGCTGAGAAGTTTCTCTGCTTCTCAGATTTAGGAAAGAGGAGCATAGGACAATATTCAAAAAAAAAATGGCAGGACTTACTTCAGCCTTTTTCCTTTCTGGGGACTCAAGGTCAAATCAGGCGGCCATAACTTCAGAACAGAAAAACCCAGAAGGAGTCAGAAATGCTAGCTTTATTATTAGTTCTGGCTACTTTTTAAGATTTGGGGGGAAGGAGGGATGCCTTCTCCCCTTTAAGAGAATGCAGAATAATGTCTGCATTTATTAGCTGTTTGTAGATAGTGTTCAGCAAAATAAAAATAATCATCCTGGTTTGCTCTCCAAAGCCTGTGTTCTCTCTTAAACACGTATGTATTCCTCTCTTTCTATTTCTATCCCCTTACATCTATTTTTTTGCTTTTTGCTTTTTGGGTCACACCCGGCCACGCACAGGCGTTACTCCTGGCTCTGCACTCAGGAATTACTCCTGGCGGTGCTTGAGGGATCATATGGGATGCTGAGACTCTAACCCAGGTCGGCCGCGTGCAAGGCAAACGCCCTATCCACTGTACTATTGCTCCAGCCCCCCCTTACATCTTTTAAAGTACATTTTGTTCAGTTAAAAAACTTTGGTACATCTACACAATGGAATACTATGCAGCTGTTAGAAAAGATGAAGTGATGAACTTTGCATATAAGTGGATCAATATGGAAACTATCTTACTAAGTGAAATGAGTCAAAAAGAGAGAGACAGATATAGAAAGATTGCACTCATCTTTGGAATATAAAATAACAGAATGGGAGACTAGCACCCAAAAATAGTAGGGATAAGTACCAGGAGGTTTGGCTCCACGGCTTAGAAGCTGACCTCATATGCTGGAGGAAAAGGCAGCTCAGATAGAGTAGGGAACACCAAGTAAAGTGTGGTTGGAGGACCTGCTCAGGATGGGAGATGCGTGCTGAAAGTAGACTATAGATCGAACATGATGGCCACCCAATACCTCTATTGCAAACCACAACACCCAAAAGGAGAGAGAGAACAAAAGGGAATGCTCTGCCACAGTGGTGGTATGGTGGAGGGATGGAGTGGGGGTAGGGGGTGGGAGGGATACTGGGATCATCAGTGGTGGAGAATGGGCATTGGTGGAGGGATGGGTACTCGAGCACTGTATGACTGAAACACAGGCACAAAAGTTTGTAAGTCTGTAATTGTACCTCACGGTGATTCACTAATAAAAAATTTTAAAAATAAATTAAAAATTCAAAAAAAGAACCAAAAAAAAGGATCTTGCTTCACTAAAAAGATCATCATCGGGGCTGGAGCAATGGCACAGCGGGTAGGGCATTTGCCTTGCATATGGCCAACCCGGGTTCAATTCCCAGCATCCCATATGGTCCCCTGAGCACCGCCAGGGGTAATTCCTGAGTGCGGAGCCAGGAGTAACCCCTGTGCATCGCCAGATGTGACCCAAAAAGGAAAAAAAAAGTCATCATCATCACCCTGTATTTATTAAATATCTACTGAGCATTAGAAATTTTGTCCACTTTCATAATATTAAAGGCAAAAGGAGGGGTTGGAGCTCTAATACAGCAGGTAGGGCGTTTGCCTTGCACACAGCTGACCCAGGTTTGATTTCCAGCATCCCATATGGTCCCCCAGGCAATACCAGGAGTAACCCCTGAGTGCAGAGCCAGGAGTAACTTCTGTGCACCTCCAGGTGGGATCCAAAAAGCAATAGATAGATAGATAGATAGATAGATAGATAGATAGAGGCAAAAGGAACTTCAGGGTTCATTTCTGTTTCCTGTTGAAGAGCCATTGCTGGTTTTCCTACCTCCTAACTTTTGTGGCTAAGTGTTTTTAACCCCTCTGCAAAAATTCAGTTAAGAAGCTGAAGAGTGTCGCGGGGCTCTGACTCTCCAGCTCAAGGAGCCTTTTTTTTGTTGTTGTTGTTATTTTTATTTATTTATTTATTGGTTTTTTTCCCTTTATTTTATTTTATTTTATTTTTTTTAAAGTTGTAGATTTACAATTTTTTGTGCTTTGGTTTCAATTATACAATGATCAGATACCCATCCCTCCACCAGTGCCCATTTTCCACCACCATGGATAATATCCCTCCCACCCCCATCCCCCCATCCCCCCGTCTCTGTGGCAGGGCAATCCCCTGTGTTCTCTCTCTCCTTTTGGGTGTTGTGGTCTGCAAAAGAGGCATTGAGTGGCAAACATGTTCAGTCCATAGTCTACTTTCGACATGCATCTCCCCTCCTGGGAGGATCCTCCAAACATCTCAAGGAGCCTTTTATCAAAGAAGCCACATTTCATTTCGGGGGCTGGGGGCATGGAATAATTAGAATCGAAGACGTAGTGAGCCTCTGTATATGTGCCCCGAGTAACGTCTTGGTATTCGGGATTCTTTCCCATTCGAGGAAACATTGCTCCTCTCTTCCCTCCACCAAGTGAGGCTCCCACTAACTCAAAGCAGTGACCTGTGAGGGCTAGTGGTCAGCCTGTTTTCTCCAGGCCTCTGCTGAGTGGGATTTTGGGAGGTCTGCTGGTGACCATGAGCTAGGCTAGGCTGTACACTGGCCGCAACAAGTAACCACTGTTTGTTCTCCATTGGCTCTAGCAGAAGCAGGAGAAGTCCTCCGACCGGTCATCCATGCTGGAGGTAGAGAAGCGGGTACGTGTCCGTCTCTTTTTCCCTCTACTTGGCCTCTTCTTTCTGAGTCTGTCTGACTTTGTTGTTCATGCCAGTGGAAAAAAAGTTCATCTTAAGAAGGCCGGCGTTCTGCCACATTCCATTCCCAGCTTAATAAGAAATTCTTTCGCTCTGACTCTGGACAGCGCTTTGATTGCTATTCCTTTTGGCTACCCTCAGATCGTGGTCTCACGTTTTCCAGTCTTAGGGCGGGAGGGCCCTGGCAGGCCGCCCCCACATGATTCTGCCTGCAGATAAAACTGCACACCCATCGGGGCTGGAGAGATACTGCAGCAGGGGAAGGCACTGGCCTTGCACGTGGCAGATCCGGGTTCAATCCCTGGTACCCAATATGGTCCCCAGAGTCTGACACAGAGCCAGGAATAATTACTGAGCAACACGGAGTGTGGCCCAAAAACCAAAAGACAAACTGCATGCGCATGTGCAGACACACACTCCGATGTATTTGGTTTGCTGGGAAGCACAGATGCTTCTGCAGACCTGGTTCCAAGGTCTCTTTGGTCCCATCGCCTCCAGCAGGCAGAGCACTCCCAGCAGTAGTCTTTCCCAGAGATTCCTCTCTCCTAACTTGAAATCTGAGCCAGTGAGGGCAACCACTCTCCAGCGGCAGGGAGGATGTCTGGGTCGTTTGCTCCCCGCCACCTCAGCTGCATTTCAGAATACTCTTTGGGAATCTGAAGCTCTTGGATTGGGAAGACTCAGCTTTATCGATGAACCTTAACTCTGGCTTGACCCTAAGGTCTGTTCCCACTTTTCCCATTCCTGTCTGTTGGACAGCAGCGAGGTGTTGTTCTCTTCCGTTAACTCCCATAACAAAACATCTTTTTACTAGCTCACTGAGTCAAAGACTCGTCACCACAGCTAGACCTGTTGTCATCGGCTGCTGTGTGAGAAGGAAAAGCAGGGAGATGCGGAGCTGTCCGTAGGCAGTGATGTCCACTCTGCCCTCCGCTCCCCGTCATGAGAGAAGCAGCTGCCGAAGCACTCAGAGAGGGGGGTGCCTGGAGACGATGAAGCCTTCTCGGTCATTAACAGAGAGCCTGGGTCCTCCTCACTTGCAGCCATTTGAAGTTCCTTGAAATCATCCACTTCCTCAGAATATCTCAGCATGCCCCGTTCTGATTTCTGTTGCCTATTAGCAAGCTGCTTCCCCATGGAATGGGTCGATGGGAGCTTTAGATGCTGTGGTTTGACTTCTTTGAAGTTGGAGGGGCACATTCGGCAGTGCTCAGGGGTCCCCGCATTGCAGGGGACTAAGCCCAGGCTCTCAAGTGCTTTGCAGCCAACTGGCCACTCCTCGTGGGTGTGGTTCCACCAGGGAATTAGCACCATCCTGCGGTGGGACGGGGTAGGCCCTTCTTCCAGCTGCCTCTAGACATGGCCAACAGTCTCATTGTTCTTTGACAGGAGAGGCGAGCCTTGGAGCGGAAAATGTCAGAGATGGAAGAAGAAATGAAGGTATGGACATTCGCTTTCTCTCTTTGTGTGACTGTTCTCCAGATGCCCGCCAGGCCCTGTCCCTTCCAGCCCTCTCTGCTTGCCTCCCGCCCCCAATGAGAGATGCTATGTGAAGAGGCGCACTCTCCTCGGCCATGGCAGAGGGGCTCGCTTCACGCACATCCCCTGTGACCCCCAAGGCCTTCTGGGGACAGATGCTATCCCATTCTAAGAAAGCACTAATTCAGCCTGAAGCGGGGCTCCTCGTTTTCTGAGCCATGGCATCACCCTCCAGGGACTTGGTGAAAAAGCTTAACACCACCCCTAAGAAGGGGGCAGGGTGTGTCAGGGCTAGCCAGAGAGTCTCCACCTGGGTCCGGCCCTGTCCCTCCCTCGTCCCTTTGCTGGAAGAAACTCAGTCTAAGTCATTCTGCAGCAGAATAAAAATTGATTCCCATTGATTTCCTACCCCGGGACATTTCCCCTGCAGTATCGGGTAACGTAGAAAACTCACCCTTTAGAATGAGCTCGTGCCACCAGCCAGACTCCACGGCTCCCCTGCAGAGACCATCAGCCCCACTAACTAACTTCAGTGGGCAGTTTGGAGTGTAAGAACTGGCAGTGTGCCCAGCGGAGTCAGGTGGCTGCTGTGGAAGGGGGAACAGCCGCCGGGAGGAGAGCTGCACAGAGCAGCATCCAAGTCTCTGAGGCCACAGGCCGCGGTCCCTTCGCACTGGCTTAGCCCTCTTGCCTTCTCCAAGGATTGTGCCTCCCTGGATGTAGGACAGGGAGTGTGCGGCTGGGGAAGCACAGGGAGAACTCTGTAAGCGAGCAGCTTTCACCTGTTAGGAGAAACAGGACTGCAATGGGGCATATGTACGCACATGCACACGCACGCGCTCACACACACACACACACACACACACACACACACGAAATCAGGGCTTATTAATCCTGTTGCTCTTTTTGATTCTAGAAGGAAGGGAGAGATGCCCTATATTTGCAATCCCTGTTCTCCACATGCTAGGGCTAGTCCTGGTGCTTTCACCCAGAAGTTCAGGCAATACCTACTTAAATCTCGACCAGGGACACTACTTCAAGGTGATTTGAACCATAGGTAGAAATTGTGAATAGTCGATTTTCCTGAGATGATAGGAAAGATCTGGCCTACTCCCATCAGCCACTCGTCACCTACTCCACGCCTGCTGCACAGCATTCTCTTCTGCTACACCTGACCCGTTCTTGATGAATGAGCGGCCGCAGCTTGGGTTGCCTGGGGGCTGCTGCAGCCATGTTGGGCCACCCTTGAGCTCTACCACCTGTGCTCTGCCCTTAGGCAGCCCTCAGAGATGCTCCTGAAGAAGACGCCTCTACCAGGGGTGTGGCTCAGTGGTAGAGCACTTGCCCTGCATGTGTCAGGCCCTGGTTTCGATTCCCTGTATCTGATGCTCTCCCGAGCACCACCAGGAATGTGCCAGACAGGAAGTAGTCCCTGAGCATAGCCAGATGCTGCAGAAAGAGAGACAGAGACAGCACGTGCATGCGCACACCTGAAGGCTGATCACGTCTCCACCCCCCCCCACACACCCCCACCGTCCCATAAAAAGACTGAGAAAATATCCAAAAGTGGAGTGAGAGACTTTCCTGTTCCAGTTCCAAGTGGAGTTGGGACACTCCGGTGGTGGCCCTCAGTTCTGTGAGTGAGGACAGGCTTGCATGTTTCTCTCTATCTCTGTGTCCTGTCAGACTGGACTTGCCTACACTCGCCATGGGTTATTTCCTTTCCTTGGTAGAGACACATGGAAGTCAAGCCTTCCAGTCCAGCCACTTCAGTCAGCAAGTTTGGGTTGGACCCAAACTGGATTTGGAACTTAAAAAAAAAAATCATATTTTTATTGAGTCGCTGTGAATGCCAAGACTATGCATGATGCATCTCAGGCATACAGTGTTCCAACACCATGCTCATCACCAGTGACCATTCCCCTCCACCAGTGTCCCCCGTTTCCATCACCCCCTTCCTGCCTCAGGGTCAGGCACTGTTTTCCCTTCATGCACTGTGGCTTACAGTACCATGACTGGTAGGTGCCATGCATATTACTCTGCCACATTCCAGCACCCCCTCCTCCTCCAGAGGGACCCCTTCCACCCACCATTGTCTCAATGTCCCAGATTTGTCTGTCCTTCCCCCTTCCCACAGTGGCAAACCTCCTACTGAAAACCAGTTCCCGTGTTCTTCATGTATATATCGCCTTTGGACATTTGTCGTTCCCCTACTTAGATCTTGATATCCCACATATGAGAATGATTTCTCTCATATGCAGAAAACATTTTTTATTGAATAAAATGTACCCATTCTTGGAGCTGGAGAGATAGCACAGCGGGTAGGGCGTTTGTCTTGCACGCGGCCGACCTGGGTTCAATTCCCAGCATCCCATATGGTTCCCTGAGTACCGCCAGGACTAATTCCTGAGTGAAGAGCTAGGAGTAACCCCTGTGCATTGCCGGGTGTGACCCAAAAAGCAAAAAAAAAAAAAAAAAAAGAAGTACCCTTTTAGTACCAATCCCAGCGCCAAGTGGAGAAAAAAGGGTCCACAGAGCCTAAAGTCTCTCAGACACACATTCACATGAGTCTCCAGACCTGCTGCTGGATTCCAAAAGTTCCAGCTCCCCCCAGGGGACCTAGAGGAAGGACTGCCAGAACCTCTAGTCATCATCAGTTTTATGTTTGTGTCGTACACTCTTTGAAGGGAAAAAAACTCCAGATATACTAATACTCATTAGGCTAGATATGCCAATAATCATAAAACTGGTATGGCTAGCCCTAGAAAAGCCCAAGAAAATATGTGCTTAGCTTTCAAGTCTTTCACCCAAGTCACAGTTGGTGTTGACCAGTCATGACCATCTCTCCAGTGGTCAGTCCCAGACCTCTTTGTCCTTGGTAGCAGCCAATGGGGACAGTAGCCTGCTTGTCCAGTTGCAGGGCCAGCCAAGGGCCAGCTGGCTCTAGTGGCTGTATTATGTTCATCGTGCTTGTACTGACGCTCCGGCCTGCTTGGAGCAATCCGTAGGGAGCAGGTAGACTGCCCTGGGGTTCCCTGAAGACACTGAAGGGTAGAAAGTGACTCCCATACCTGGTTTTCCGACTCTGACAAAGTGAACAAAGGTCAAGTCAAATGGGAACCATGCGATACGCCCCCAAACCCGCCTCCAGGGCTGCAGGCCTCCATGACTTGGCTTGTGCCCGTCTGGCCTTTTCTTGGGAAGGTAAGTACCTAGAGGTTCTCCCCAGGAGAGGTCCTGGATTAGAGGAAAATTTGATGCCAATCTTGCCCAGGTTGCATGTTGGTGAGCGCTGTGCTGGGCCCGCGCCAGCCTGGGCCATGCCCCTCATGCCCCCCGTTGCCTGCTGATGCCCCTCCGGACGCTCTGCTCTACTGCCCCTCCTTCCGAGGCTGCCGCCCCTCCCCGACTGCTGCATGCAGGGCCCCAGCAGGCAAGCCCCTTTGGAATTTGACTTGGACTTTATTTACTTACCCTGGAAATATCACAAGGTGGTCCTGGCCCCTAAGTCCTGCCCGTGCCCGTCCTGCTTTATGGCCCGCTGCCTCTCCATCCCCCTCCATGCCTTTCTTCCAGTCCTGCTTCCTAGAGAACATTCCACCAGACTCTGTTTGGCTTCTCTCTCTTTCTCTCCACCTCTCTCTCTCCTTATAACTCCCAAATTCTTCCAGAGCAGTCTGCCTGCACTCACATGTTAGATTGAGTCATTTTCATAATGAAGTCTTTAATGTTATTCCCTAGAAGGCAAGAACTTCTTTATATAATGACAAGGATGTGTTGAAAGATTTGGTTCAGTGTCAACACCAGAGAAGGGTGAGAACCAGGGACTTTCCGTCGATTCTGAAGCTTGGTCCTTACCCATCAGTTTAACATCTGACCCCACCCGACCGCTCCGTGACCTGGGGGCGTGCCTGGTCCTGAGCCCTGCAGTGGCTGTGTGCCACCCCACATTTTTTCCAAGGTGCTCATTCTCCCTCTTTGGGGGGAAAAAAAGAGATCTGAAGTTTGTCTCTGCTCGTTTTTCCTTTTCACTGTTTCCCCCCTTCATACTGACTCATATTCCTGCTGCTTCATTCCCGAGCAAGTTTAACTCCACTAACTTTCCATTCTCATCCTTCTCACCCGTGCAGGTACCACAGAACTTTTCTGTGATACCTGGAGGCCTTTTTTTTGTAGTCAAAAGGCCTACAAATGGATTGTGTGTCTTCATCTATGGACTCCCATTCATATATCATTCTCCTCTTCCTAAAGAGCTGCTGGCCTCAGTTGCAGGTTCCACGTGAAACCCCTTAGGAAGAACAAGTAACAGTAGGCAGAGCTGTAATGAAAGTCCAGTGCCGAGCAGTTTGGTGTCCATTCAGGCCATGAGGGAGTTTGGAAAATACCTGTGCACTGGCTATTCTGTTCTCTCTGCAATGCTGACAGATAATTGGGGTCGGACTGCTCAGTTCAGCCAGTTCCATGACTGTTGGACATTTATGATATCTCCAGCTTGGGTACACGGCTGTGATTTCCAGAGCATGAGTCTGTCAGCACCTTCCGCACATCCCAGTTCCTGAACTGGAACAAAGAGAATGTAACTAGTTGTGAACTTAGTGATGCAGATAACTGAATAGCAGGTCAAGACACCTGAGCCTGTCCTGGGTCCTGGAGCGTGCTTCTGGGCTGCAGGAGCCCCTGCCAGCAGCCACGCAGCCAGAAGTCCCAGTTGGCTTCTTATTGTGGTCGGTGGCACTTCAGCCTTCTATGCCATGCACGCCTCCTGCAGAAACCCATCAGAATCCTCTTCTTTTCTTTCTTCCCTCGTTTTGTTTTAGACACTCAAAGTAAATGAGGTGAGAGAAGGACCCAGAAAGAAATCAAGTGGGAATGGGAGGAAGGGTGTGAGGACTGAGACGAGAGGGTGCAGCTCGATTTGGGAGGTCACGGCTGGATCTTGGAGGTCAGTTCCAGCTGCAGTG